GAGAGACATACAAGCTGTCAAAGGCAGTACTTGAAGAACTCCTCCTGGCCTTCCCTGGATTTCTGGTACTAGCAGAGCACTTGCCTACCAAGCTTGAGGCCCTGGCTTCAATTCCTAGCACTTCAAAACCTCCCAAACCAACCAAACATGATTCTTTTTGTAATTAGGAAACCATTGTTAAAAGAGCTGTTGTTGTTGTTGTTGTTGTTGTTGTTGTTATTGGGTATGTATGTATGACATGTGTGACTCCTGGTACACAAGCGCCACAGTCCACTATGTGGAGATCAGATGGTAACTTTAGGGAGTCAGTTCCACTGTGGTCTCCAGGGATCAAACTCAGGCCATCAGGCTTACACAGCAGTGTTTTTACCTACTGAGCCATCTTGTGAGGCCCTGTTTTTATATTTTAATTGGAAAAACTGAATTTATGATTCATGACTTATCTTAAGTCATGCTAACATTTTATAGATTAAAAAATGCATACATATATGCTCAAAGCAAAACACTACAGTGCTAGCACATCTGTAAGGCTGCAATAGAAGGATCATGAGTTCAAAGCCAGCCTAGAATGAACAGGGAGACCTGAAAAAAATAAGACAACAAAAAGATATGGCCATCGCAGAATGATTTCATCAGGAACATACTCAAATTTACTTAAAAAACAAAATTTTATTTTGTTTCGATGTAGCAAAAACTGACTTAGCAAGGAACATCTTGGTGAGAAAGGGCAGAGTTCCTGAGAATGATAACCTACTTTTTACACCGACTTTCTTCTCCCCTAAGCATCTGTCAAGTGTAGGAAGAGGAAAAGGTGCTAAAATCTGGAGACGCAGACTAGAATAAAAATATGCTTGGTTCCAAGAATGAGAAGTGAGAAGAGGGAGAAGAGAAGGAGCGGAAAGAGGCAGGCAAGAGGGGAAAGTGGAAAGCAAGAGGAGGGGAGGGATGGGTGAAAGGGAAGCAGGGGAGAGGAGAGTATTTCACACACATTATCTTTCGTCCATTTATCACATCCCTGTTCCCTAACCTAAGCTACCAACAAACACTTCTAAAACATACCTCTGTCCACTGCTCTATCTCCATCACAGCCCAATTCAGCTGTAAAGCTGTCTGAGGTACTGTAAAGTACAAGCTAGGACTTACTTCTTCTTTTTTTTAATTTTATTTTTTTCTTATCAGTTACATTTTATTAACTCTGTATCCCAGCCGTGTCCCGATCCCTCATTCCCTCCCAGTCCCTCCCTCCCTCCCTCATCTCCACCGTGCCCCTTTCCAAGTCCACTGATAGGGGGGACCTCCTCCCCATTCATCTGATCCTGTTTTATCAGGTATCTTCAGGACTGGCTGCAAAGCTCTCCACTGTGGCCTAACAGGACTGCTCCTCCCCCCTTGGGGGGTGGGGAGGCCAAAGAGCCAGTCATTGAGTTCCTTGTTCCCCTCACTATGGGAAACCAATTGGTTACTGAGCTACCACAGGCTACATCTGAGCAGAGGTTCTAGGTTATATCCATACATGGTCCTTGGTTGAATGTCAGTCTCTGAGAAGACCCTGTGCCCAGATATATTTGGTCCTTGTGGAGCTCCTATCCTTTCCCCAACAGACTAACTCCCCTTCTTTCTTATGATTCCCTGTACTCTGCCAAAGGTTTGGTCATGAGTCTTTGCTTTGAAAACACTGCTAGTTAGAGTCTTTCAAATGCGCTTGGTAGACTCCTGTCATACGTTCAATGCGCATCCCATCTGTCTTTCTATACGAGGATTGATCATCTTACCCCATGGAGGACTTACTTCTATTGTTCCTCTCTGATCAACCATGCACATGGTAGCCAAAGCTTTATTTAAATTTACTGACTGTAGAAGTCTTGTTTTTCTCTTTCCAACATGAGGGTCCCAGCGATCAAATTCACATCATTAAACTTGGTGGCAGGTGCCCTTATCTGCTGAGCCATCTCAAGCCCCCAGAATAATCTTTTAAAAATAGATTATGGCACTGTGTAACCATCCCACTGGCTTCCTAAATGTATTTTCAAATCAAGTTCAAACTAAGCATTCAGTGACTCAGATGCTTAAAACAGCACCCAGATACAAACGCTCAGTGTATGTCACATACTAAGGTAGAGCCTCCCCCAACTCTTAGCTTGAAGTGGGCACCCTCCTTGAGGAACTTAGACTCTTTTGTTTCCTGAAGCTTATTTGTTTCCAGTTGGGACCTATTGTTTCTTTCTCCTGAAATTTTTTTTTTTTTTCCTCTAGACTCTTCAAGGGCTTATTTCTTCCTCATACTTCAAGTTTCATCTTTAATGTTACCTCAGTGAGGTCTTTTTTTTTACTTTCTAAATGCCTTTCCCTAAATTTCCTTTTGAAAATATTTATCTACTTAAAAATTTACATTTATTGAAAAACTTCTGCACATGGGTACCTTGTATGTATATATGTATACGTCATGCATGCCTGGCTCCCACAGATTCCCCTGGAACTGAAGTTACAGATGGTTGTGAGCCTCCATCTGGGTGTCAGAAACTGAATCCAGGTCCTCTGCAAGAGCAGCAAGCACACTTAATCACTGAGCCATCTCTCCTGCCCTTGATAATTCTTTATAAACAACAACAACAAACCAGGGTATCTCTGTTACGTTTCTCTGGCTGTCCTGCAACTTGCTATGTAGACCAGGCTGACCTCACAGAGATTCCACCCGCTTCTGTCTCCCAAGTGCTGGGATTAAAGGCTTGGGTTTCCATGCCCAACCCCACTTATTACACAACTTTCATTTCTTTTCTAGTGCTTTACAAATTGTACTTGCTTTATTTACTTTTTGGTTTTATTCATTTACCTTGTTCTTGAATATTTTCAGATGCTTCAGAATTCAGGAAGTTCCCTAACTTGCTAGAAAAGTATTTTCTTTTGCCCAAATCATCTTAACGAAGAAATTTTTTTTTTTCTCACCAAGAAGCTGAGTAATTGGCTACTAACATTGATGTTAAAGTCTGTACTGTGATTCATCAGGCCTGCATACTTACCTTAATTGCTAGTAATACCCTGTGTCCCACAGAATACTATGCTCGAATGGAAGAAGAGTCAGGATAAGAAGAACTGCATCCTCGGGCAGGGGATATGGCACTTGCCTGCCATGGGTGAGACAGAGCTTGGGACAACCACAGTGTGACTGTCTATGTGTACACATGGATTATTTTTTTAAAGATTTTATTTATTCTTTATACATCATTCTGTCTGCGCATCAGATCTCATGATAGATGGTTGTGAGCTACCATGTGATTGCTAGGAATTGAACTACTCAGGACCTTTGGAAGAACAGCCAGTGTTTTTAACCTCTGAGCCATCTCTCCAGCCCAATTTTGAATGATTTAAGTATAAGGTGACAAGAGAGAAAGGAAACATTTCAAGTAGGATGAAATATGTAAAAAAGTACATTTTATCAGAGGTAGTGGTAGCAGTTAGGAGCAATGCAACCCTCATTTGTAGGCAGTTAGTCAGGTTGCAGAGCCAGGGGAAACAGTAATCTATGTCTTGATGAAACTGGCTGTCAGCACCAAGAACACTAAGATTTTAAAATGAATGACCTAACTGGTGAGCTAAGAAACTAAAACCCAAAAAGCCCTGATGCATCAAGACATGGTTAACTACCAGCCTCTGTTCATACTTGCTGCTTCGTCGTTCCCCTAACACTGATCTTTGTTTGTTTGTTCCCCCCCCCATGGTAGGCTTTCCCGAGCCTGTACTTGCTGTTCATCTGATCAGGACTCTCCACTTAGATATAAATTAATTGAATAGGTTCATCCTGGCTTAATCCTTATTTGTATACGGATAGGCCCAAATTGGCCCATTCCCAGAACACGAACATTCTCTGCTCCAAAGATATCATTTGGCAACTTGGAGAGCTGTTTCTTTACTTCTCAATAAACTTTGCTTGCCTATCCCTCTCCTATTGTCCTCGTTCCTCATTCTTCTTGATCATGAGACAGAAAACTTGGCTCCAACTCAACTGGAAACCAATAACACTAGATACCATCACTGCAAGACGTACCATTATTTTATATTTCACTAAAAAAATGCTGCTGAAAGTGTTAATAAATGTTCATTATGAAAAATCATCAAAAATAAAAAGAGTCACAGAGATGTTAAAGTCTGTGAAGAAGAGGGGAACAAGGTAGAGACAGGAAAAGTAGAGAGAAGGAAAAAGTGAAAACTACCATTCTATCAACGACACTACCCAATTTTCCCAGAAAGCACAGTAAGTATGAAGACATGGGTCACTGGTTCTTCAAGCCTTATCAGCATGGGAAGCCACACAGCACCTGCTACTTAGTGTCTTCATCAGCCTGCTCACCCTAGATCATCTCCTTAGCCCTAGTCTGTCCACATCACTGTGTTTTAGATGTATCTCTTCTTGTTTTATAATTCAAATTGAGTACGACAAAAAGATATACATGTATATATGTATACACACACAGGAAATGTACTTGAGCAAAGTTTAGGCTACAATTTACATAAACCAAAATTAAGCTTCAATAAATTAGACCTAGAGGAAAATCACTAATTTGATCAAATTCAGATCTGTGGTGAAGCAACAAACATAGGCAAGTAGGAAAGTGTCTTACACGTGTTAAATCAGCCAGTGTTCACAGCAAACTCGTCAGGTGAACAAACAGCTCTACCAGTGTTTTACAAAAAGGGAAACTCACATAGAAGAAGTTAAGTAACCTTCCCAGTGTCACACAAGTAAACAGAGAAGTTCAGACATCTCTACCCAGGTCATCTGTCTCCAAAACCCAAACCCTTAGTTACTACACTATTGCTTTTACCATACGTAAAAGAAAAATGAAAAACTTAGAAAGGACATAAACCTCACCATTAAAAATGACCCAAAGTAGTTAAGGAACACTGAAGCAGTATTAATACCAATACAAGTCATCCTAGGTTGGTACGTCACAGCTCTTTCAAAGTGTCTTAGCCTTGATTAGTAGTTGTGAAGTTGGACAGACCTGGCTCTGAATCTTGGCTGTGCCTTTTACAAGCTGTGTGACTTTGGACAAATTTCGTAACTTCACCAAGTGTCAGTTTCCTCATCTGCAAAATGAGAATAATAAATGTCTTACACAATTGTCCTTAGTGACACGAGTACAAAAATAAAAGGGTTTCAATTTTTTCAGAAAACGGCTCTACTGTAATGAGAGAATGAAGATCAGCACTCTGAGATACTGAGCAGCTTCACGATACACACACACTGATCAGAAACATAACAAATAATTCCAGATACAAGGCAAGTGGATTAGGGATCTGACTGGGGCTTTGCAAATACGCGCTACCACTGAGACACCCCCAAGCCCAACCACTGGGCCCTGGAAATTAAACAGAAAAGAAAAGGTCAAGGGACGAAGGTCAGCACCAAAAATTTGGCAGATTGTGAGGAAGAAATTTTTATGAGAGAAAAACAGAAAGGGTAGGAAAACAGATTCAGGGCTGTGGAAGGCAAGGAAAACCTACCCAAAACGACAGAGGTATCTCTATGATTGATTCTAAAGTCATGCCCATTTTCCCCTTTTCTTTCCATCTCAACTAACACAATTTTCTTATTTTCTTGCAGCCAACAGAAGCTCTGCTATATGTTAAAAAGTCCTATTTCTTCCAGTGCCATAAAAGTACAGGGCTAGTAAAGAATAAATATTATAGAATTATAGTTAAGAACTGGAATTGGATCTTCACAAATGAAACACGGTGGAAAGGAAATCCCTTTTCTAAAATCTTGTTTCGATTCATTTCGTTTAATTTACGCGTGAGCATTTAACCTGTGTATATGTCTGTGCAGCACGTGCACACCCGGTGCTTGCGGAGGTCAGAAGAGGGCACCAGATCAGATCTCCTGGAACTGGAATTACAGATGGTTGTGAGCCAAACTTAGCTCCTCTGCAAGAATAGTAGTCAGTGTTCCTGACCACTGTGCCATCTCTTTAGCTCCAAGAAATCCGTTCTTAAAAATATTAGGGGCTGCAGAGATGGTTTAGCGGTTAAGAGCAGCTGCTGCTCTTTTAGAGGACCTGGGTTCAATTCTCAGCAATCACATGGCAGCTCACAGCTGTAACTCCAATTTCGGAGGATCTAGCACCTTTCCACAGACAACATGCAGGCAAAACATCAATGCACATAAAATAAATAAATCTTAAAAATGTTTTATTAGTTATTAGTGTGTGTGTTTATATGGCATGTGAGAGAAGCAGTTCTCTCCTCCTTCCACCTTTATGGGGTTCCAGTGACTGAACTCAGGTCGCCAGGTTTGTGCAGCAAGTTCACCTACTATGACATCCTGCCAGCACTAAAATAAAAATCTTAGATTGAAGGCCTTTGGTTTATGAGAACTATTATGCATGCAAAACTAAGCTATAAAGTGTTTCTCTTTCCTTTTTTTTAAAGCTTTATTTATTTTTACCTACTTGAGTGCCAGAAGAGGGCATAGGATCCCAGTATAGATGGTTAGGAGGCACCACGTGGTGCTGGGAATCAAACTCAGGACCTCTGGAAAAGCAGACAGTGCTGAGCCATCTCTCCAGTCTATAAAGTGGTTTTCAAGACTAAGAACAATTCAGATCAAATATTTATGGGACATCTCTTATGTGCAAGATAATTATAATATTCAGTATCAGGACTACAGAAGATCAGTGATATCACCTCTAATCTCTAGGTTCTCATAATCTAGAAAATATATAAAAGTAATAACCTATCTGACACTAAAATGTGTTTAGAGAGAAACAAATTGCTACCTGATTCAAAGGAAAATTTACTTTTCTGAGATAGAGAAAAATGATAAAACATTGAAAAATAAACAACCCTAGCTTCTGAATATAAGAAATTTGAATACAAAAGTTATCCTTTGGTCAAAAAGGTACACACAGACTATCAGTTACTATTAAGTATAAGGAGAGTGGGAAATAAAAATGTACTAAATAAATCTAAAAGAATATTTTTGAAAAGAAGATTAACAGGGCCAGAGATATGACTCAGCAGTTAAGAGCACTGGCTGCTCTTCCAGACGTCCTGAGTTCAATTCCCAGTAACCACATGGTGGCTCATAACCATTTATAGTGAGATCTGATGCCCTCTTCTGGTGTGCAGGCAATAATAATCAATGTTGTTAAATTTTCATTTACTTCAACTACCTTAAAATTTTATACTAAGAAACTTGTAAGACTAACAGAAAGCACATTTGAAATAACAGGCTACTCATTTACTTTTACCATTTTAGGAATTTCTTTAAAAAAAAAAAAAAAAACCCTTATGAGCTAGGCCTGCCTCCACTGTCCACACTTCTCTTGGCATTCCGGTCTTTCATACTCCCACAAGAATGCCCATTACGCTCTGCTCAGAACCCTCTAGCCTGGAGTTCTACATTCCTCCTGCAAATGATACAAAAATCATGTGGTGAGGTTTATTGTGGGAGCCTACTCCTTGATAGCAATTTTCTGTACGAGTTTATTCTCTCACTGCTCTGACAAAAAACAACAAAAGCCACTTAAGGAAGGATTTATTTTGGCTTACAGTGTGAGAGTACAGTCCATGGAGGAAGGAAAGCCTAATGTGGCCAGTCACGTGACAGAGGAAGGCGAATGTGTGTGTTCTTTTGCTTCCTCCTTTCTTTTTATTCAGTCAGGGGCAGCAGTCAAATTATAGCATTACACCCACATAAGCTGGGTCTTCCCTCCTTAATGATGTCACTACCCTCCCAAGGACACATGCAGAAATGTGTCATCTAGGGGACTTTAAATCCAGTCAAATTTATAATCAAGATTCCAGGGTTTACAAGGTTTTAAAAGGATTTATTTATTTTATTCTCTTGCATTCATAAACATGTGCACCATGTGCATGCCTCGTGCATGAACCCCTAGAACTGGAGTTACAGACAGTTGTGAGCTGCCATGTGGGTGCTGGGCAGTGAACCTGGGTCCTCTACAGGAGTGCCCAGTGCTTCTAACCACTGAGCCATTTCTCAGCCAGTTTTTAACTTTTAAAAACCAAATGATGAAAAAAACTGGGCATGGTGGGACACACCTTTGATCTCAGCACTCAGGAGTCAGAGGCAGGCAGATCTCTGTAAGTTCAAGGCTAGCCTGGTTTACAAAGCTAGTCCAGAACAGCCAGGGCTACACAGAGAAGCCCTGTCTCAGGAGAGAGAGAGAGAGAGAGAGAGAGAGAGAGAGAGAGAGAGAGAGAGAAGAGCTGGAGACAGATCTGAATTTGAATCCCAATGTCCATAGTAGCAAACATCAGATAACTAGAATTTTAATTCTTCAATATAAAAAATAAAAAGATTATATAGTTGTGCCAGACATAGTGGTACATCCCTTTAATACTCATGTTAGGGTAAAAGGGTACAGTGTCTGCAATTCACTTTCACTTAGTTTTAAAAAAACAAATTCTAGGACTCAGGAGGCAGAGACAGGCTGATCTCTTGTAAGCTCAAGGCCAGCCTGGCTACATACACAGTGAGCTCCAGACAACCTAAGGCTAAGTAGTGAGACTCCCCCACAAAAAGATGGTATAAAATTGTGATGTTTAAATAAAAAAGTCAAGATACAGTGTTTGATATCCAATATGTGCCGAACTGAGAATTAGCGTCCTCCTCAAAGTGAAGCTGTGTTGCCAGTAATCTCACACAGCCCTTTTCCTCCACCCATTTGCTTCCCTTTGCCTTTCTGCCCTTGTCACACGTAACACACTCAAATCCTCTTTCTGGTTCAAGTTTGTCTCCCACCACTCAAACTATATTTATGTTACTTAACATTTTCTCTGTGTAAGCATGTCTCAACTACCTGCTTGAAAGATTGGATCTCATTCATTTTCAATCCTCTTTCTATATAAACCACAGCTTTACACATGGTAAGCTCCCAAATACTTGATAAATGCTAGTATTCTAGATTTCTCATTACAACTGCAAATCATGTGCAAGCCTTTCTGGCATTTTATAGATAAAAAGTTAAACTGTCACTATTGTTGTCTTCAGAATCTCAATTCTTCAGTAAGTAGAAACATTATATCTTACCTGTTTTTTTGTTTGGGGGCAGAGTTTTAAATGTAGTCTTCCCTGACCTCCTACTCACAACCCTCCTGAGTTCAAGGGTTACTAACATGTGTCACCAAGTCTCCGCTTAAAATTTTAAAAATAAATTCACAGAATTATTTGTGTAAAACAAAGGCCATCCTCCCCCCTTAAAAAAACAAAAACAAAAACAAAACAAAACAAAAAAAAAAAACAACACAAAGTGTTCTTTGGTAAGAAAGCATATTAAATAGGAAATGTTTACAAAATCTTCAAAATACCTATTTTATAAATATTTGGTGCAAAATATAAAACACAAGGTCCTTGAGGCAACAACAGAACAACAAACAAAACATTCAGGTCTGTCTGTTCTTTTATTACTAATTTGGAATTTTCCTACATGATTGGTAATTCCTAGAACACTATTTTCTTTAAGTAATGAGAACAAATTTTTTCTTTTTAAAAATTAATTACAGGGGATGGAGAGATGACTCAGAGGTTAAGAGCACTGGCTACTCTTCCAGAGGTCCTGGGTTCAATTTCCACCAACCACACTGTGGCTCACAACCATCTATAATGAGATCTGGTGCCCTCTTCTGGCCTGCAGGTATACACACAGACAGAGCATTGTGTAAGTAATACATAAATAGATCTTTAAAACAAACAAACAAACAACTTCTGTATTCATTCCTCCATTGAGGGACATCTAGGTTGTTTCCAGATTCTGGTTATTATGAATAGAGCTGCTATGAACATGGTTGAGCAAATGTCCTTGTTGTATAGCTGAACATATTTTGGATATATGCCTAGGAGTGGTATAGCTGGATCTTGAGGAAGCGCTATTCCTGATTTTCTGAGAACTTGCTCTGTAGATGAGGCTGGTCTAAAACTCAGAGAGATCCTCCTGCCTCTGCCTCCCCAGTGCTGGGATTACAGTTGCTGACCACCACCACCCAGGAATTTAGGAGTTTTAAGATAAACTTTTAGTTTTACATAACTTCAAAGTACAAGAAAATTTATAAAACACTGTATTTTGTCC